GAGGGCTGGCAGTATTATATTTATTACAACGAAGACAAGGACTAGTAGTTTGTATATGAAAACCGTCTTGTCGATGAGACACATCAGAGTGTAGCTGTGAGGTCCAGTGGTTTGGGGCTTCCAGGTAAACGTAGCGCTTGCCATAAGTACGACAAGACCTCCAGCAACCCAGGTGGCCACTGCTAGCCTCTTGGCGACACGAGCAGAAGGCACGACCAGAGGATAGACTATAGACAAGTAGATCTCGATGGCTAATACCAAAAGATGGTTTAGTGTTATGATTGGAAAAAGGAGTCTAAGAAACCATGACAGCTTACACAGCCAGCTGCTGCTCGTAACGTCGATAAAGTTTAACATCACTTGTGCAGGGAACGCTATGCTGCAGAACAGAATGTGACAGCCCGACAAATTTTGAATAAAAACTGCCAACAAATTTCGATAAAAAGGCTTTCTCGGGTTTCTTTGTTTATCTCTCTGCTTCTTCTTGAGGTAGAGGACCAGTGAGTTAGCTGCGGTCCCATAGACACAAAGAACACCCATCACAATAAATATAACCGTCTTCACACGACCATCAAAAGGCAAAAAAATGTATTTTCTTGAGAATGATGTCGAATTATTGACGGAGTTGTTGGCGCCAACATCCATCATGGCTATGCACTTGAAAACGACCGTTAACTGACTCTCGAAGCATGCAGGACAACACTACAATAAACATTTATTCCTAAGCTTTTGGGTACGAATGTTATGTGAGGGATTAGTATGGCTTTATAAATCGATTCATTGTTTTTGTTTTCTTTTGAAACTAAAATTCTCGACTACTTCTATAGAAGCATGGCTCAAAATTAAAACTTCGTCAATGTGACCGAAATATTTATAGAATCATGTTTTTCTTCGACAGATGTTCTGATTGATTATATATATATTAAATTTCAAATTTTGACAATGGGCTCCTAAAATTAGTGTTAAGTGCTTGTCAAGCGCATTTTTCTCCCTCGCAGCCGTTTTAGTCTCGTTCCATTCAACTACGGCCCGCTTATTTCCGGCTGTTTTACTATTACGACCGACAGGTTTTTCAAGTTATCCTTCTTAGTAGACTCTCCGTAGCTCGCAGACTCAAAAACATAGAGTGGCAGGTTACCTTCTCAGTTGTTCTTGTTCTGATAAATATATCAATGAATTAATCCATCAACTTTGAGCATAGAGGATACCACACACGCTCTTACCAACTGAGCCAACCGGGTGGGATATAACAAAGTTCCTATAAGAGCATCTGTATAATGAGATAAGTTCTTCTTATTTTGTCTGGCTCTAAACCAATGGTAAAAGTCCAGGTTATGCTTTTAGAGTTGGTTTCCAATTAAATTGTCATTTCGATGGGTCGTATACGGAAATGATGAAAGAACAAAGCCGTTTTAACAGCTATTAGCTGCAATGCATTTCATTATCTTGAAAACTGATTCAAATTATATTCTTTTTCATTATTTTCATGTCAGCTTTCCACCAAACTTGAGAACGAATCATATAACTAGACAGACGAGCAGTGTTTAATTTGACGACGTTCAATTCTAGTGATGAAACTTAATTAAACATACAAGATAATTGATACTAGACGATGTGACAATACTCTAGAAAGAATAAGGTAAATAATTTTAAAAGTACGTAAGATACTGAGTATTCAAATCTGTCTTAGGTTTCAGTATGGACTTTAGACTTTTAGATTTTTATTTATTCACACACTAGAGCTAGAGTTACATCTCAAATCTGTGTTGAAATCAAAATTGAATTTGAAAAGTTTTATCGATTTGACATTTTTAATATCAATAGGCCATTTCACGGATCCTGTTACTCAACCTCAGCCTCGTCAGCGTGTACTTATTCTTTAGAATTTGACTACAATCCGCAATAATGAAAGGAATTTACACATCAACAAACAATTGAAACACTTAAAAATTTCACAGGTTGTATGCAATTTCTAAAGAATATATTACACGCTGACGAGGCTGAGGTTGAGCCGCGGGATCTGTGAAATGGTCTATTGAAATTTCCTCCCAAAACTTACTTATGACAGATTTGAATGTAAATCTGCCATAATTTGTGCGAGTGAGGGAGGGACAAGGTTACAAGATAAGGCATATCTTGTATTATAATGGTGTTGATGTTTTGCTAAAGTAATATGGCCCAAGAATATTTTCCTATTAACATCAGACACAAGGCTATGAAAGGTTTCAGTCCAATTATACAAGACGACAAATGGTCTGGCGTCCAGCTATTCGATTGATATACTTAACGTGTTTCGATTCTTAGTTTGCAGTCAATCCCAAGAGAGCACAATAACAAAAGGGATGTCCGCAATGTTGGAAGATATAACAAAAGAATTAATTGAAAAATCTTTTGT